TTTTTTTTTAAAAAAAAAAAAAAAAAAAAATCTTCTAATCACCGAAGCACGCCTCAAATTCAAAATAATTCATCGTGAATTCGATTAATTTCAAATGAACTTCAATATACATTTACTTGAACTTTGATACTCCACGGAAAATGCAACTTTTGAACATTTCTTCAGGCTTGAATCCCGCAAAAACCTGCTCCCACATTGGTTGAACTCACCGGCGGATCCAGATAGTCAGCTACAAATGTTTTCTCTCCATTTCAACCTATGAAAATGAATCGATTCTCGGCAGGGCCGGGCGCTCCGAGAAAAATCGATTATTCAACACACGTTTAAATGGAGGGATTCCATTGTTACCAATTTCAACTCAGCACCCCGCGTAGTGCCAATTTTGCAAGTTGGTAACGTTGTTGCTCCTCCATTTAAACCAATTAAAAATATCGATTTTAGGTGGTGCAGCAGGAATCGACTGTTTTACGCACATTCAAACGGAAGAAAAAGAGAGTTGCCAACTTACTAGAATCGCCACTAACCTCGCCGCACAGCGCCTGTATTCATTTTAATTCGTCCGTTTTTCTAAGAATTACCAATCGCGAGGCGCGAATGATCGATTATCGATATTTGCCCGTTTGAAGTTATGGTAAATAATCGATCATTCAGGCGTTCGCTGCGAACACCCTGTTTATCGTTATTTTTACATTGATTTAAATGGCCGATCAATCGATATATCGCAAAGCACGCCACGCCACTAGGATTATCCCATCGGGGGCACGGGGATTGTTGACTATCGAGTTTACGGCGAAGAATCGATTACTAAGACAGCATTAATGGCCGATATTTTCCACAGGCTTAAATGGCATATCGATCAATGGATCCACGATACAGCAATGTTACCCCACCGGAAACCGGAGGGGGAGGGGGCTGGTCGGAGGAACTAATCGAATTTCCAGGAGACAATTCCTGTTTGGATTATTTAATTTTTTCGCCTCTTCTTCCGCCCGTCGCGATAATTGTTTTGTTTTGACGCAAGTTAATTCGGAGACAATGACGTTAGCCCGGGGACGTCCGTGCGCCGGGCCCGGCGGGTAATCGCGTTAAAACGGTTGCGTCTCGCCGGCGTGCAGGCGCTCGCAGCCCAAGTCGATCGCGCGCGGGGAAGTCCGCGGAAATTGCGAAATTCAAATTGCGAAATGAAAAAATCGAATTACGACCGCCGCGGCCGGGGCCGCCCGTGTCGGGTCAGGAAAAAAAATCGGGAAAAAGGAGAAGAAGAAAGAGGGCGAAAATCAGAGTCGGCTCATCAACTTTTCAGGGAACGAGCGGATCACAGCTCCGTCGTGGTAACGAGAAACAACGTACGGATGTACGAGCGTTGCCAAACTTAGTCCGCTTGAGTACAAAATTGTAGTTGGCAACACTGTCCACCCTCCATTTAAATGGCTTTGAAGTAATCGATTATGAAAGAGGCGGCCTGTATCACTGAGGATCACTAATGATAGGCGGATCCAGACACTTTGAAAGCGGGGATTAGAGGAAGGGTGGGGGAGGGGGGTTGGGGGACTTCACCAACAAAATTTTCGTAATTTTAAAGCATCTATTATGCAGTTTGAGTCAATTTGGACAGCACCTATCCGCAGTAGGATTTGCACGGCCCTCCTGTTGTTTCTATAATAAGTGCCTCTTTTCGCAATCATCGCCTTGAAAATCGTCATTCCTATCCAGTGTTCGAAACTCACAGGCGCCAATGCGTCTAAGAAATCGGCCATGGTGCCTACAAAATGAAGGCTCTGCGCCATCGTGGCCCCTAAAAATTGCCCCCCCCCCCCGAAAAAAATCATAGTTTTTCTGTTTGGTAATTTTTCGAAATTTCTGTTTGGTAATTTTTCGAAATTTCCCCCGAGTGACAGATACTAGTTCTGTAACCAGAACATCTTGCGTCTAACTTGTCACTAAATGCGCCGTGATACGTAGGCAAAAAGTCAATTCGGCCCCTGAAAATCGCGCTTGATGCGCCACATGGCTCCTAAAACTCCAAGGTGAGTTTCGAACACTGCTCCTATCAAACAATTCAATCGGAGGGTAATCATCTCCTAGCTCGGCCATAAAAGCACTCGTCTGCAGCAGAAATGGACCACTAAACAAGGTACGAATTTAAGCATTCTGATACATGTCTCTTAACCAGAATTTCACGTAAAACACGATTCGCGCAACGAAAATTACGGAAACCAACTCCTAGCGGAGATATTAACATTTTTATTTCACATTGGTCACGAGGAATTAGAACTGCCCGCTCACAAGAAACTCAAGGCTCTACGTGAGTCAAATCGCGCACTACAACGGTTTCAGCAAGCTTCTCAATCGAGCAATTTTCATTTCCCACCATGTGTTGTTCAAACAATAATT